GCCTTCCCTGCCTCCTGCCCTCTGCCAAGGGCAGGCGCCGGCCCAAAGCCACTGGTAACTTTCCACTATTTGGGCTCCCGTTTTGGGCAGCTCCGCTCACCCGATCAATGGGCTGCTGGCTGGCACCCCACAGTCACCAGGGTGGGGGGTGTCCCCCCCACCCAGGAGAAGGGTGGCCCTGCCAGAGGGCACAGGCTGGGAATGCAGCACTCCTCCAGGCAAGGCTGCAACAGCCCTGTGTCCCTCTTTGCAGCTGGGGATGCCATCCAGCTGCCACACGCTTGCCACAGTGTTAAAAATACAGCAGAAATAGCTTCCTGGGGTGATTTGCAAGTGAGGTTTCAGGTCAGTGCAGCAATGTGGGAGCTGCTGCTGGACTCCTCCCAGCTAGTGCCAGGAGCCTTATCTCTGCTCCCCACCTGGGCACTGCTTATCGGGGACCCTCCGCTCACCACTGCTGCTGGAAATCCTTGTTGGCACAAAGGTCCTGCCTGCCTGTGGCAGAACTGCATAGCTTGCAAGGGCAGCACTGGTGTGGGAGCTGCACGGGTGAGGCAGGGCTGTGCCCATCCCAGCCCCTTGCAGACTGAGCTGCAAACTGCATTTTTTTTAATATAAAATCTTTAAAATACCCTGCTTGTAGCCCATGGTGGCGGGTGGCTCTTTTGAAGAACGGAGCAGCAGTGTTTTCAGGAGCAGCTGGTTTCTTCCCTGGACATGCAGCCATGGTTCAGGCACATTGCTCAGCATCCCTGTGGGGCTGAGCTGGACCCCGGTGCGACCCGGCAGTGCCCTTAAGGCCGGGCTGTGCCTGTGCTGAGCGCTTCCTGCGGTTGACCACCAAGGGCTTTCGTGGGCAGGCTCTGCCTGCACCTGTATCCTGCCAGCTCATGTCATGGTGTCAGTGGTTTGTGAGTTGTCTGGGCTATGCTAGCCCCCCCTGGAGCAGATTTGGGGGTTGCATGCGTGGGACTCCTTGCTACATGAGCTCTGCCTGTGTGGGTCATTCACACCTGGGAGAGCTTGGCAAAGCCACATGCTGGACTGTGCACTACCTGATGCTGCCCTGCCCAAGCCCCAGCACAATTCACTCCATCAAATGAGCAGGGAAAAAACCCCACCATCCTGGTAGTTGCCCAGGGATGTCATGGAGCAGGGACAAAGCCCAGGGGAAGGCGTGCGAGGCATTGGAAGGGCTGTGTTGGGCCCTGGCCCATGCCAAGCATCGCTCTGGGTCTTCCTTGGCTCTGTTCAGGGGCAAAACCCCAAATTACCAGTGCTTCTGCCAGGGATGGTGCCGAGCTGGGCTGTGTGTGGTTGAGAGGGGTGAGTGGTCCAGGGCTCATAGCTGCTGGCCTTGGGAGCTGTGTCCTTCCCTCCCGTGAGCACTCTAGGGCTTTACCCTGCTGCCAGCCAGGAAGCTGAGGTACAAACCAGATGCAGCCAGAGGGTTTTTTGGCCTCCTGGTGCCATCTGCTGTTGCTTCCCCTAGGCAGAGCTCCAGCAGGCAGAGCTGTGCTGGGCTTACCAGTGCAGCTTGCTCCTCTGGAGCAAGCTGGAGACAACAGCAGGGAAATGCCCTTTCCTCCCCCGCAATGGGCCCTGGTCGCTCCTTGTAACAGTCTTTCTGGTTGGGAGCCGCAATGCAACGCGGGCAGGCACTGGCTTATCCTGCCTGCTGCAGGCTCATACCTGTCCTGCCCAGGGCACTGCCAGCTTGTCCCAGGAGTCCTTCGCCATGTGCTGAAGGCTGCTGCCAGGTCATGGTGACACAGCTGGAGAAAGGTGTCCTCCGGGCAGCAGAGCCTGGGTGCTGCTCTGCTCCCAGAGCAGCGTGTGGGCTGGAGGCTTCAGGATGGGTGCAGCCCTGGGTGGTGTGTGGAAAGTCAGTGCTGTGGCTGGGCAGGGGCTTCTAGTCCCTGTGGGGGAACAAGGAGGCCCTCCCATAGTGGAGGTGGCTGTGGTCCCCTTGCAGCCTTGGGGCCATTGCTGGCCCATGGGCATCCCGAGCAAGAAGATGGGTTGGGGTTGTGCTAACATGGGGAAGGACAATCCTGCCCACAAGTGCTGTCAGGCACCCTGAATGGCTCTACAACACAGTATGTGGACTTCGCTTCCCCTTGAGATTTCTTGCGTGGACACCCGATATCTGCCCCAGTGTGGGATTACGATCCAGCCTGGCCAATCAGCCTCCCAGAGCTGCCTCCTCCCCTTCTCCTGCTCCCATTGCTGCTGCCACCCATGGCCAGTGCTCTGCCTGCATGTGTTGTGGGTCCCTGGGATCATGGGGTGATTTCTGTTTAGCTTGAAGCTGTGCAAGGAGGTCCTCCGGAGGTCCTCCAGTGGTCCTGGGCTGGTGTGTGCTGGCAACTCATGCATGAAGCAGGCTTGAAGGACTCTCTTCTGTCAGGAGCTTTGCTTTACTCCTACCTGCAGCGTTTTAAGAATCACCCATAGCTCTGGTCTGGGCTTCATGTGACTGTGGGTTTTTCCTTGGATGTGGTAATTCAAGGACAACTTCTCCCTGCTGTTCCCTCATCCCCTCTGTCAGACCCGTCTGCTGATGAGCAAAGCAAATATGCTGTGCTCGTGGCACCCTCCTGGTAACCTCCAAGGCAAAATGGATTATTGCCTACTTATTTCTGACAATGGAACCTTTGCGCTTCTCCCTGGGACGGCTTATTTGAGCTTAATCAAAAACTTCCTGAAAGCCCAAGACTGCTGTGTCAGCTGAATTACCCTTCCCAGGAATCCAGCAGGCTGCGTCGAGTCTTCATAACCTGCTTTGCAGCACTTGGTGGGCTTGGTTTGTGCATGCTTTGGGCAAGTGTGAGCTCCCAGGTTCTGAGCGTGCCTTGCAGGTGGCTCCTTTCTGGTTACAGCTTGCCAGAAGTGTTTGGGCAGTGCCTGGAGATGTGTGCTGCTCTGGGACACTTGCTCTCAGTTTGCAGAAGGGGTGGCCAGGTATAAGCTGGGTTAAGTGGCACTTGATTAGTGTAGGAATGGCTTTGCTGGCCAAGACTAATAATGCAAAGAAAGCAGATGATATCCAGGAAGAGCTATTTCTTCAGCTGGAAGGAGCTTCCTTTATTTTGCTTGATGCAGAACAATAAAGCTAGCACCATGGTACAGCTTTGAATGCCCCCCTTGGGGATGAAGGGCTCAGTGCTGTCATGCAGCAGGA